CAGAGCAGCACAGCTCACGCAGGCGAAGCATAAGAGGACAATAAACATGCAGAACCCCATTGCAACCATTGCAGCTCACTGGTTTGTTGGGTTTTTTTTTCTTTTCAATTCCCTGCTCCACAAAGAGACACAGCAAAGCATCTTGGGAATATGCAGAATTTTAAACTGGGATTTTTTCCCCTGTTTTTTATTGCTCATAAGGGTGTCATAGCTGTATTTTCGCTACTAGTGCTGACGTGTCACATCCATAATGTAGTAACAGGTAGCTCACTCATACACTGATGAAACCAGCTTGTCCTTTGCTTGATCAAAGTATTTCCTATTTGTACTATAATAAACAATTTGACACACTGGGGTGGTTTTTTTCCCCCCTCTTGTGTCAGCCTGAAGTTATTTTTCCAGGATACTGAAAACCAGCTGCTCCTCTAATTAGTACACCGAGTGCTTATTTTATTCCTCAGATAAAAGTGTCTTATGTTGTAACGAAACAGTTTGACACTTAAGTCACACATTCATCTATTTTATTGCAAAAGTCTGCTGAAAGAGCAGGCATCCCAGATAAGGCAACACATTTAATGTGCCATTTCTCTGCATTTTTATTAGCATTACTGCCAATTGGAAGAATTTACAAATAATTTCTTCTCCAGCATATAAATATATAAAATATTTTACTTTCCACATTCTGGCAGAACATTTCAGGTCAGTCTCCAGATTGCAGACAGAGATGTATGCACCTCTCATCGTCTACAATGTTTACATTCAGGCGATACCTAATTATGGTGAAGGATAAAGCAATTCAAGGATATAAACTAAGGTAAAATTTGACCTCTCTTTCCAGACCAAAAGCAAACAATATGTCCCTATAAGGCACAGCACACTGGATAGATGCCCAGCTCTACTGAACAACCCTCTCCTGGCACAGTCACGCACCACTTCTATCAAGATGTAAGCAAAGCTTTGGCCTAATGCGAATCTCATGCTCTGAGAGACCGAACCACCATTCCCCACCTCTGTTCCCAAAAAGAGGCATTTTTGCACAAAAGAAAAAACCTTTCGCCTTCTGTTCTATTTTGGTATTTTCATCTCCCCATTACAGCAATGCCACAGCAACCTCCAGTAGTTCATAAAAGGGTGTTTCTGATGATTTATAAGACTTCTCTTGAGACCTTGAAATATTCCAAGTATATTCTCATTTTTCTCCCTAATTCAGTTTTTTGTGCCAACTATAACATTTCCCCCTGAGGCAGCTGCGTTCCTCTCCACCTGGGTAAAGCACTCCTTGCAGAACAGCAAAGGGACTCAGAAGAAAAGGTGGAGAAGGCGTTTGTAGGAAATGCAGTGGGTACTCCAGCCTCTGATGCCTGTCTTCCTCCAGTGACAACTGGCAAGAATTAGATATTCCCTGTAAATACCTGCATTCAGCAAAGCCATGCTAAGAGGGCAAACGTAGCTGGGAGCGTGGTCCTTTGCAGGGCTGTGGCATGTCCTAGGACAGAGCACAGCCAAAGCTGGAGGCTTCCCACGTGCCACCACCAGTTCCCACTGCTCATACCCTGCTCCAGAACAGGAACAAAACATCTTCTGCCCCAGTGGCCCAAACTCACCCCAGCTGTTGGGGAAAAAAAAGCCAAGTCAAAATATCTCTTGCTTTGTTTGCCAGCCCCAATATATCTTGCTCTTGGTTCCCACCTTACTGTTTTTTGGGTAAACTTGTCTCCCCCTTCCCTAGAACTGCAGTAGCTTTGCTGTGCCATGACATCAAAGCCCAGCAGATAAATACCCCAAGGCTCCCCATGTGCCACACCCTTCATGGCACCGGACAACTCGCATCCTTGTGATCCCAACAAGCAGGAGTCCCCTCCTGCCGCTCTGAGCCCCAGAGGATATCTGGAAGCTCTTGAGCATCCTTAGCATCACCCCATGATGTTCCCAGTGGGCAAACCCACTCGTTGCAGTCACTTCCACCTTGTCAATGCCAGGGCCACTGGCATGTCACCTGCAGAGTAAGGCTGATGGCAGCACTCAAGAGCCACAGAGGCATTAAAAGCGATATGACACCTCTGAAGAGTTCCTGGGCTAAATCCAAGCTGTGCAATTGCCATTGTCACTGGAGTTCGTGCAGCATTTCCCAACATTTTGCCTCCGAACGCAATGAATTATGAGGTGCACCTTCATTTCTGCTCTGGTTTGGAGGGTCCCTGTGTGTCACTGACCAGCTGCATGCTCCAGCCCCACCAGCAACTGTCCTTGGGTGTCTCTGGAGTTCATCCCTGTGTTATTTACTGAGCGTGGTGAGATCCTTGGTGGAAGAAAGTGACATAAAGGTGTGAAATGCTCTTGTCATATCAGTTTATGCTCAGCCACAAAACCACTCCAGCATACATCGCATATGCTCCTCTTAAAACATGTTTTGTCCAACCCAGCCATCCTGCATGAGTGTCTGACCTAGACAGGGCTGAGCCTCCCTCCTTATCCCTACAGAAAATAGGGTTTGCAATGAAAACCAAATCCAGACCAGCTCCGGTTGCTCATTATTTGAAGCCCATCAGTTAAATAAGCCGCGGCAGATACAGCCACTCTGCCATCCTGCAATGTGAACGCACTCCCAAGGTAATTCCTGATGAAAACCGTATGTTTGCACAAGGTCTGTTCAGGCTGGTTCAGATTAAATATAAACTGCTGCCAATTGTATTACCTCATTATTAGCAGACACTGGCAGCAGCCTTGCGTGGAGAAACAGACGTCTGGCTACACTACCTGCCGTCACTTCGTAATTCAGGTGCTGGGAGATGCGCAGGAGGATGACCACCGTCCCCTTGGCTTTCCTGATCATCTCTGAACGTGACCTTTCATCCAGACGAGCTTCCAACCCCCCCTGATGCTGAGCGAAAGCCTTGGAAAAATTCGGCAACCCTCAACAGGAGTACATGGGAAGGAAGGTAAGGCTGTCCCTGGGAGCACAGGGCATGACTGACATTCCTGGGAGAAAACTGGGATCAAGCCCTGCTACCGAATGATGTTCATGCACAGTGGGAGAGGAAGGAGGAAGCTATTGCTGGTTCTCACCACGTATTTCAAGTTAAATCCCATTAAAAAAAATGAAGACAATCCATAAGTAGCCATAAGCCATATAATATTAATTCAAGCCATATAGCATTAATTCAATTTGCAGACAAGGTAAATCTTTCATATAATATTCCCCTGTTTGCTCAGTGCCTAAGGAATGTCCCATTACCCTGTCTTTTTTTAATATATGGCCCATTTGACCTTCACGTAACACAGACTTGTGTCCAGCCCCCAAATCCTCTGCTCAAAACACCGCAACAACAGGCAGCCGAGACATAAGAACAATAAAACCACCCAGTACAACCAGACTGTCTCTTTGGAGCTGTTGGAACTGTTGAGCTGGAAGAGACGGAGGATCACCTCCCATCTCTGCAGAAAACACATGGAGCTTTCTGAAAGGTCTCAAGCAGGAATTTAGCACCTTCCATCTGCAGCCCATTACTCTCTATTTTAACTCCACCTCTCCGATTACAGGTCCCTGCACGCTAGGAGTGTATACAAAAGAGTGCCAAAGTCTCAAGTCTGTGAGACCGAGAGTCAGGGAATAACTGGAGATGAATCAAAACTGGAAGCCAAGTCCATAGCACTCTTTTTCCAAAAAAGCACAGAGTTTCGGTAAAAGACCCCACGAATTGGCACCACGCTGAGTCTGGCCTTTGCAAAACCTAAAGAGAAATCACCTGGTCGGCTGGGAAAGCCCAGCAGAACGTAACAGGGTGCAAACAATAATTTTTGCAGAAAACGCTTTTAAAATGATGGATCTTATGTTTTTCTTTTCTTTTAGGAATGAGATCACTTCAACAACCGATCTTCTCTATCTGCCAGGTTTTGTATTACTTTGTCTCCCTGCTCTAGAGAGATGCTGAACACCCTTGCGCAGGCTGACAGCCTCTTCCCGCTGCCCCTGCCTGATGGATATAGTTGTACTGTGCATCTCATGGGGACATTCAACTCGGATGTCCCCAGGGTGGTAGGAGAGCTTCGCTCTCGCTGCCACAATCTCCCATGGGCTCTGCTCTCAGCAATCTCCTTGAGGATGCTGGTGTCTCATTGTCTGGACAACCATCCCCCTTTGGACCAGGGGCTGCATCCAGTATCTGGTTTGAATTATTTCATCTCACTTTGCACCATGCTTCCACCCTGCTGCAGCTGCCTGCAGAAGGCAAGGAGAAGGTCAGATCCACATCCCAGCTCCCCTGCACATTTCAGGAATCAGGAAAGTCTCCCTTCCTGCTCTGCCCAAGGACATTTTAAAGACAGCTCGCTCGTTGTGATCAGCTCTGATTGTAGCTTTGCAGCAGTTAAAAAGTCCCCCCTGGCTCCAGCATCCTGATGCTGTATTTCTCTGTTCCTGTTAATGGTGGGTTCTGTTTCCTTTATTACCTCTTGGTAATTGTTTGACGAGCTCTCACAGCAGGACTTTGCTCAAAATTATTCCACCCTTCTAAACTTCTCCTTCAAAACCATCAACACTTTGTTACGACACAGCACAGCTCCCCTATGCAGCATCTTTTACTTGCAAGGAGCGGTGAGGCTGCAGGACCAGGCAGCTCTGCTTGGTTGGGCTCTCAGGTCATCTCCCAGTAAGCATTACTGGGCCAGATGCTGCCCATGAATGCAAAGAGAAAGGTTACACAAGCCTTGCAAGAGACCATTTGCAAATTTTCAGAGAAAGGTTGCAAGAGCAGGTCTGTCTTCACCCAGCTGCGTCAGCTGGTCAAATAAAAGATGCTCCATCTCCCTTGCGTGGGTTCCCCAAGAGGCAGGTTTATCTACGGGAGGTTGATGGGTCACAGTCTGCGCTTTTCTTGCTGTGATGAAAGGCAAAGTTTCACAGCTTCCTCTCCAGACCTTCCTTGGTGACCTTGAGGCTGCAATGTCCCGGGAAAGCTGCCTCCACCAGGAACAGCAAGGAACCAACAGCGAGGACTTACCGTCCATGTCGAGGCGTTGCATGATGATCGCCAGCTCCACCTCACTGGGCATGTATCCCAAGGAACGCATCGCCATGCCCAGCTCCTGCTTGGATATAAAACCATTTCCATCCCTGTCCAGCACCCGGAAAGCTTCACGGATTTCTGTAAAGGAGAAGGAAGAAGAGAGGAGTTGTTACGGTGGAGGACTCCCTGGTTGATGCATCTGCACGCATGGGACACCAAAGCAGCATATATTGCCTTCTCTGATGGGAATGATGCTTATTTGATCATCTCAAGTCAGTGTAATCATGATATGTTCATATAAAACATTTATACTTGTGTGTACGCAGTCACGCATGCACACCTCTGTATGCAGATAGATAAATCCAGCAGCACCCACACTCAAGCTGCCTATTTTCTGTGCTAATTATAGTTGCAAAATTACTTCTTCATTACACATGGAACTTCATTTCTTTCTGCACATCTGCTGGGCATGAGCCATCCTGATCTACAGTAAATACGGCCACACAGCAAACCCCAGCCCCAGGGATTCCTCCAACAGCCCTTCTCCAAGCCCCTCAGCATGTCTGTGAGGCGGATTTACTGTATGTCACACGGATGGAGCAAGGACTTTCTCCAAGAAAACTATGTGAAGAGGAACAGCTGGGTGCTGACTGCCTCCCCTGCAGGGTCCACAGCTCTGCAGCCGAAGCCTGGATGCATGTATTCTCCCTTGGTCGATAAATGTGGATGGACATCTTTTAAACCATGCCCAGGCAATCTCCATCCCTCACTCCTCTTCATGGCTTTTCTCTAATTTATAACTGGTTTACAGCAATAAACAGCCTCAGATCAACAAAAATGCTGATGGCATCCAAGGACTCACTTCCATCATTCTTCCTCAGCCTGGCTCCGCTTCTGACATCTGACTTTGTTTTGCTTTTTTAATTCTGACGTGTCCCCCTCCAGCCTTTAACAGCCGCTCTCCACCCGTGCAGCACACCAAGGGACCCCCATGCACCCACCGCCTCGATGGCTCTGCACATCTCCCACTCCTCACAGACCTCTCAGCTTGAAGCCCCACCACCAAGCTCCCCACATCTGACTGTTGCAGATGCCAAATGGGGAAATGCTAACATTTCAGCCAGCTGGGAGCCTGCTTACTTGAAAGGGTTTGGCTGGAAGTAGGGAGAGAAGGAGGCATTGATTTCTTCATTTTGGTTAAACAGTCTTTGCACCGTGCTGTGGAGTGGAAAACACAGGATGCTCTATCATATCTCTTTTGGGAATGAGGGTATATGAAAAATCGGCATGCTGGGGCTGCTGCAACTTTGCTCAGAGGAGTTTAATCTTCACGTGAAAGTGTTTAATTGGAGAAGTGGGAGGGAAAACTCAGCAGGTTTTTTTGGGGAAATAAAACAACTAATTAAAAAATACTCTACTCCCTATCAAGAAACAGATTGGACAGAAAAAGTTTGTCCAGTCCCGGATAGTTCAGGCATTAAGCCTCAGATGAGAAAATATTGTCGGTCCTGCCATGGACTCCTGGCAGGTCACCTCTCTCTGCACAGGGAAGTGGTTTCAGTGACATCTTTCTAACAGGTTATTTAAAGCTTTACAATTCAAAGGTGGCACAGAATGGTTTGGGTTGGATGGGACTTTAAAGCCCACCCAGTTCCACCCCCTGCCATGGGCAGGGACACCTCCCACTGGCCCAGGTTGCCCAAAGCCTCATCCAGCCTGGCCTTGAACCCCTCCAGGGATGGGGCATCCACAGCTGCTCTGGGCAACCTGGGCCACTGCCTCACCCCCCGCACAGGGAAACATTTCTTCCCAATATCTCGTCTAAATCACCTCACCTCACATTTCTCTCCCTCCCTTGACAACACCACTGTGTTAGCAAACTGCTCCAATTTCCACGTGCTGCTTTCTGCCATCTGTGACACCCTGGTGATGTGCCAGCACCAGGGCACCTCTGTGACCCCCTGCTCAGTCCTCACCACAACGGTGGTTGTCACAATGAGATAGGATCAATTTTTAATCCAGCCAAAGAGCCCACTGATGCAAAAAGGAAAGATCCTCTTAATTCCAAGGAATATGGGGCCAGATCTGTAAGATCTACACTTTGGGTTCAGGGATGCAGCAACTGTGGCTTCTTCAAGCTCAGATGCTTCACCTCGTCTCCCTCCCAGTCCAAGCTAGTGTAAACTCGGTGATATGAGAAGACGGTGAGTCTGTTCAAAGCAAGCTCGGCTGCAAGCATCAGTACATAATGCAAGGAGCCTTTGGAGTAGGAACAAATCCCATTAGACACTGCCAGATGTAGTGAAATCTATTTTCATATGCTGTGCTGAAAGCTAAAGTGCAGTAAATATTACATCGAAATCAATTAATTTTAAAATAAACTTTTGACAGCTGAAGACGAAAGAACTAAAAATATTGCAGGGAGCCAAGGAAGTATTTTAGAAAATAAAATACGAGTCTACCTTCACAAAAGTTTACACACGAGTTAGACAGATCCAAATTACATGAATAAATTACATTTGTACAGGGACTCTGCTGGAGGATATCTGAATGCCAACATCTGTGAGCATCCTCTCCAGGCACACTGATTTCAGGAGGCTCATTTAAAAGCACTGCAACCTTTGAGTCTCGGTCAAAGGAGCAAACCCCATGCCTTTGGGGTCCAGCTCTGTTCCATACCTCCCAGAAACCTGAACTTTTACCCAAGCTTGAAACATCCTTCACACATCAACTCCTGACACCAAATGGAGCTTTTTTCACTCATCCCACTATAAATACCACTTGCAGAGGTATATTTGAAGAGCTATTTATAGGTCGAACACACTGTACACGAAGCAGCTATGACCTCAGCCAGAGCCTCCTCTTTATCTTTACATGTAACACCACCTCCTTATCAGCTTTTCTTTATAGTGATTCTTTCTCCTTTGATATACGCACGGGCACTGCCCTGCACAGCACCCAGAGGGTGAGCCCAGGCCTGAGCATCCTTCCCAAATGCCGCCCCACCAGCCCTCCCTGCCCGTGCTGACGAAAAGCCGGTCCCAAGCAGCGGTCCATGAACCTGGGGCACCCTGGCTGGCCCTCACCTTTATTTCCAGCTGTTAAATTTCATTACCCAAAGCTAAAAATACACCAGCACTTTCCCCATCTGACTTTCCCAAAGAAGTCGCCATGGCAACTGATGCTCTTGGCTCAGAACTGGGAGGGGATGTGGTCCGTGGAGTAAATCTCTCAACAAAGATATCGATGGGGCTTGGGAGAAACTTTGAGACCTCTTCCATTTCGGCTGGAAGCTGCTCAGCATAGGGATGCTTTACCCTGGTCAGGAAAAGCAGAGCCCTGTTTTGTCTTTAAAAGGAAAAGTAAAGATAACGGGGGGAGCGGGTGTCAAAGCGATGCTGGCCCAGCAGCCGCCTTTCCCCTCACCCAGCGTGGCTGGCAGCAGCCCTCCACACCGAACCAAGCACATATATTCTGAATATACCTCCCTTGGGGCGTTAGCAAATATTATTATTTATTCCCCTTTCCACTATATAGTGTCTTCTTTTCTACCCAAATACAGGAAGGTGACACAGAACTATATTGGGGTATAAAAGGGAAAAAGAAGAGAAAGTACAGAAAGATTTAGGGAACAGAAAATGGCCCATTTTGCTGGTGACGCCACTGGCCTGAGCCTCAGGAAACACCACTGCTTCTCCAAGAGCCCAGGCTAGGACCTGAGGGCTCTTCTCCGTGTCTCGGTTTCTCCAGCCCCTGGGAGCAGCAACACTGCTCCTCTGTACAAGGTGATTTTAACACAAAAGCGCTCATCCGACAGCCAGTGACTATTAACAGCACCAAACCATCTCACTCCCAGAATTAATTCAAACCGGACCAGCAAGCAACGCCACTCCAAAGAGACTTGGTCAGACAGACCGTACACGATGCTTAACGCTGAACAGCGTTCAGGTGAACAAGGGGAGAGAAGGGACGGGCATTCTGCTCCATCCTAATGAACATCTTTGTTAATGATCTCAAAGAGGAGCAGACACAACATTAATTAAATTTCCAAATAATAAAAAGCTGGAAAGAGTTGCCAGGACAAAAACCCAGCAAGAAGGAAGGAGCACTGTGCAAATGGGCCAAGATTTCGGAGCAGAAGGGCCCTTGCCAAGGCGGGTATGGGCTGGGGCTGAAGGCACGTTTCTCAGGACAGTTTAGCTCACTGGTTTTGTCCAGGTGAGGATTCATGTTCGGCGGGAGTCGAGAGCACAGCAGTCACTTGTCAGAGTAATTTGAGCATTCAAAAGCTGTGTATGGGGGGTGCGTGTGCGCTTTTAATTAATTCTTCTTTCCTTGCATTTAGCAGCTGCACCTTCCAGCTCCCCTATTCTGGAGCACGTGGCCACCCGATTACCCCCACGCTCCTCTGGGAAGAAAGAAAGGAAAGATCAGGGAAAAGGAGGATTTTTTAATTACCTTTTTGAAGGGCACAAACAAGACCGCTGTCAGAGTTGGACCTGACACCCAGCCTGGAAAGTCGTTAACTCTCTCCATCTGCATCCAGAAAGAGCCAAAGGTCCTCACCCCCCCGGCTCACATCGCACCGGCTCAGCACAGACCACGCAAGAGCCTGACCCCATGCTCCCTTCCAGTCACCCCAGTTCATCCCTTCTCCATGTCCAGTAGCAGGTTTATTTACCGATGATTTCCCTCTGCCTGGTAACTAGAGGCAACCATCATTATTTCTTGTTTTGCTTCCTGAACAAGAATGAATCACGATTCCCTGGGAAATAAATTCAGCCTGAGCCATCAGTGTCCACTTGCTCCCCTTGGGTGCTGCAGATGCAGGTTATTTCCCAAACATCACAATAATAAATGTTGTAATTACACTGTAACCACCATACCCTAAGTGCACCGTAATTACAATCAGAGTCCTGTATGGTTATTTTCATTAGTATAAGAGAAGAAATACCACCATCCAAAATCTTGCAAGTCATCTCATTCACTTAATTGCAGGTTTGGGCACCAAAGTACAAACTGAATGATCTAAAAGCTGCAAATAGGATGTCCTTGAGTGAACTGTTAAGTGAGTCTTGTAACTACTATGTTTAAAAAAAAAATGGAAATTTCTGTCCCTCCATCTGGTATTCTTACTC